GTTCTTCGAGTCAGTCCTTAATTCTTGAGACTTGATCAATAAGAATTACAAAAAAGAGTCAAATTTATTTTTCGGGCTATTTACAAGTCCGAATTAAATTTCATTTGTTTCGCTGGTTTTGTAATCACTTTCTCGAGTTTAAAAAATATGTACTGTTCATCCGTACTGTACAAAAAAATTATTATTATTATCACCAAGAAATTTCCAGCAGTCCGATTTCATTCTTGACTCAAAAAAAAGTGTCGAAGTCAATTCAAGAACCACTTTCTTGAATTAAAATTAGTTTTCACTTCTATTTGTCCAATTCTCTGTTCTCTTTTCGTCCCATAGATCTCTTGAAGTATACCTCGATCATAACCCGGTTTGAATTCTTCGAGAATAAGATTTGGTTGAGTTCGATATTGACTTTGAAGCACTCGGGTGAAAGCATTGAGTGGGAAAAGGCAGAGTGATGAGACTAATAGAGGCAAAAAGCCATATTGAGTGATACACAAGTGAAACACGTGAGACATATAAAATCTTAGAATTAGGATGTCTGACAGAGACGGTTCTACATCAAGCGGGAATCGAGATCAAGCTGGGATGGCGAATGAGATGTTTCAGCGGTTTGAGAGGTTGTTTGGCGATATGAGGGACATGATGGATAGGCAGGATGCATTACTAGCTCACTTACATAGGGATGTCTCTAGGGAGATTCCTAATGCAAGGGGACAAGGTAGGCAGGGCCGTAGGATGAATCTTGAAGATGAAATTGAAGCGGGAAGTGAATGGATAAGGATGCATTGGCGGGTGTTGACTTGGGAAGAATACGGGATAGAGTAGATTGGTATGAAAGAAGGGGTCAGGATCGTGATGGAGATGATGGAAACATGGGCAACATCAAGATGACTATTCCAACATTCAAGGGCAGAAGTGATCCAGGGGCATATTTGGAGTGGGAAAAGAAGTTAGAATTGATCTTCGATTGCCACAATTATTCGGAGGAAAAGAAAGTAAAAATTGTAGTCCTTGAATTTACTGATTATGCTATTACTTGGTGGGATCAAAT